ATCCGGCAGAATCGCAGTCGGCCGCTTCTCAGTTCTGTTCAGAACCACAGCATTACTGACCGCCAGCGCGATGTTGATACCGCTCGTCAACCCTAACCCTAACCCTAACCCTAACCCTAACCCTAACCCTAACCCTAACCCTAACCCTAACCCTAACATGCTTACGATCCACAGCAGTCTACATGGATTGATAACATGATTAGTATGTGAGGGAAGACGGAAACAAGCGATGACGTCTGTGTAGAGAAATCAACATCGACGCACCATTCTGAAGCTCCTGAACTTGTCTTGAGCCATGGCGAAGAACTCTTGGAACGTATACGTGGCGGATCTGCGCCACTCTTCTTCGTCCGGTGCGAACTAAGTCCAGACGAAATCAGCCTCATATTCAAGAGACAAACAACCAGGTTAAGGGAAGAAATCTCACCGGATCTGATAGTCGGGTAGGTTTCGTGACGGTCTGGAGGTCCACGAGGACGATGGTGCCGCGTTCGGTGTCAACGAGAATGAAGTGCCCATCCCGTCCCTCGGGAACAATAGCGAAGACGAAGACGTGAGGCGGGAGCTCGTGCGGGTAGGCTTCCTTCGGTATCTCAAAAAGTTCCTCGTGAGCGTACTTGTTGGGCAAGCTCAGGACGACCTCCCCGGCGAAGTCGACCTGAGAGGACTTTTCGTAGATATTGAACGGCTCCCAATCGTCTTTCTTGTCTCGACGGACGTAGGGGATATGCCTCATCAGGTCTGCTACTGTGTTGTTCTTGCCGAGGAAGAATGAATCGACGAAGTCGGGAGTGATGTGTTCCCACCCGCCCGGGGGAGGGTATCTGACCACCTCGGGAGGCAGGTATAGATGGGTCAGGAAATCGTAGTAGGATTTCAGCTCAGAAACGAACTCATCCCTAGAGTAGGTTGATTCCTGCGGCTCACTTTCGGCCATGTTGATGGAGACGCGCACCGCGAATATTGTGCAGACGAGGGACGGGACCAGCAAGTCTTGCGAACGTAGAAGGTCAATGTTTATTATTCACATACAATCGCCGTTAGCCTCACACCGAGCAGCATTTGCCACCTATAGCTCTAGTTTGCTCTTATAAAATACCAAGCCCGCTGTGAGTGAGATCAACCGGACTTCGGCGCCGTGCTCTGCCTACCAAGACGTTGACTGCGCTGGACTGTTAGTCAAGGGCTTCAAGGCCAACTTCTCCGCCTAATCTCGGCTAAAACTTCTCCAAAGAGTTCGTTATTGGCTCTGAAGTATTTGCCTCATCCGAGGAATGGCACATGTCCAGGTCTTAAGTCAGAGCTTGAAATTGCAGTCAGGCAACAGCTCGATTCGACCCACACTGCGCATCTCTAGCGCCAACACGGCTTGGCATGAAGTTGCACCTTGCAGGCCGTGTTCCGTGCTAAAGAACCCATGCCAGCAGAGCCACAGTTCACAACTCATGGGCAACTCAGACCATTTGGTCCTTACAGTCGAAATGGTTTCGTCTTCGGCTCCGACGTCTCGACCTCTTGGCATAGACTTTCGTATTGGTTCCATCTGGTTCTATTGAACTAACAGCTCACGTTAGCTTCAATCTTTCGGTCGGTGCGGACTAGGACAAACAATTTGTAAGTTTTTAAACGTCTAGCCGCGAATCCCGCCTCAACTACTGCGCCGCTAACGAACTTGCGCCCACAATACCAACCATATAAAGCTTCCGTTCTAAGTAACTCGCGAGCCCAGCTTCTAAGCGAGCAATTGGCAACACGAGAAGATTGGTCCACAGCTAGGCAAAAGCCACCTACAAACTTCACGGGTCGTTACCCATAATGGACAAGGCATATTCACATTACCTCACAGAACATGCCCCCAAAGTCTTTCAAATTTTCACCAGGCCCAGTTATGTTCGACTTGAAACTCCTGAGCAGTACGGATGTAATAAGTTTCGAGTAGGACGTCGAAATAAACTTCGGCTAGACGTCAGGCGACGTTATAACCCGGGCCTCAAATTCCAACACGATATTACGTTCTAATGGTCCGACGAAGGCGAGGTGTAGTCTGGTGAAAGATTATAATAGTACTTCATTCCCGTCTCTGAGATTCGAAAATCATCAAGTCTTCCATACGAAATTGTCGTTCTTTTGCCAGCGCTCTGGTCATCTCATTGAACATCCACCGTTCATTCTCTTTTATCTATGGCTCTCATATAAGCCGACGCTCTTTTCGACATTATCTCTCCCGAATTAGTTCATAACACATTCCTCACCTTTCCTCCGTTTCTCCGTGATGTCCCTAACACTCGAGAGGATGGACACCTTCCTTTTGGCTTTATATACCCTGCTAGCTTACAGCACAGGCGTGCAGGCAAAGGCGGTCTTCGCCCATTTCATAGTATGTTTACATATACGCATACATCATATACCAGTAAGCTAATCGCCCCGTAGGTTGGCAACACTGAGAATTATGTAATGAGCGATTATGAGTATGACATCAGTCAGGCCCAGCATGCGCACATTGATAGGTTCGCTCTCAACATAGCGCGAGACGAGGCCACCAACGTTAAAAGCGTTGAGAACATGTTTAGCGCTGCAGAGGCTGTTGGCTTCAAACTATTCTTCTCTTTCGACTACGCCGGTCAAGGCCCGTGGGATAAGGAGGATGTCATCGCTATGCTGGACATTTATGCCAATAGCCCGTCATACTTCCGACACTCAACTGGTCAGCCTCTAGTATCGACTTTCGAGGGCCCAAAGCAGTCAGATAACTGGGTCGAGATCAAGCAGCGAACTGGAGCCTTCTTCATGCCTTCTTGGTCATCCCTCGGCGCAAAGCGGGCCATAAAGAAGGGCACGGCCGACGGGCTCTTCAGCTGGGGTGCTTGGCCGGAGGGACCCAACGCTATCAGTGAGGAGATTGATGCCTTCTATGTCGACTTTCTCAGAAAAGATGCTAGCGGCAAACCCAGGCCTTATATGATGCCCGTTTCGCCTTGGTTCTACACCAACCTGCCCGGTTACAAGAAGAACTGGCTCTGGCGCGGCGACAGCCTCTGGTTTAACCGTTGGAATCATGTGTAGGATATGGAGCCAGAGTATGTCCAGATCATTTCGTGGAATGACTACGGCGAAGCCACCACATCGGCCCGGTTAACGAAAGAGCTATAATCGCCTTCGAAACAGGCGAAGCACCTTTCAACTACGCTCTCGGACTGCCCCACGACGCTTAGCGAATGTTTCTGCCATTCGTCATTAACACCTACAAGGCTGGAAAGACCTCATTCACTAGAGAGGGCCTTCCCGTCTGGTACCGTAGGAACCCTGGTCGTGCTTGTAGCAATGGCAGCACAGTTAGCAACACCGCGGCCCAGGTTCAGGAGGAAGGAGACCCGGCTGATTTCGCCGAGGACAAGATTTTTTTCACGGCACTTCTCTCCGAGTTCGCCCTCCCACGAGTCAAAGTTGGCAACGGAGAGTGGACAAATGTGATGTGGTAACCTAGTCCTAGTGGTACACAAGCATGGGATATTACATTTCAAAAGCATAACAGAACGAACCTACGGTCTACTAACTTCAATCTACGCATCAAGGGCATTCAAAAGCAAATCGCCGCAATCGTAGTCGATCAACTATTAAAGTTCGTCGTTTCTAAAACACTTAGTGCAAAGCGACCGGGTACATCATGCTGTCTACATTTGAGACATTGAGGAATTAGTGGCTGATAGAGGAGATTTTCACAGATTAAGAATGAAATAGAACCTGATATTTTGAGTTTGCTGTCGGGATGTTTTGACTGTGTACTAATGCCAGAACTATTACCCAAATCTTCTAATAACTATCAAAGTGAGGTCTCTGAAGTCTTGACCCATTCTTGCTTTGTCAAATAAAGCTTGAGATGATCTAAGATTGTCTCTTCAACCTCGGTATCATAGAAATCCTCGATTCTACTAATGAGACAAATATCATCGGAGGTAACCAGATTGACAACGACGCCATTTCGGCCGGAACGACCGCCACGACCGACACGATGTATGTAATTCTCACAATTCGCATGCAGATCATAATTAACAACCAGAGGAATCTGCTGAACATCTATACCACGGGCAAGAAGCTCAGTGGCAATCAATAACCCAGCAGAAGTAGAGCGAAATTCCTCCATAATTACAGCACGTTCAAATGCTGGCAAATCCCCATGCATAGCGAAGAAGGGGAGCTTAAGAGCACTCAGCTTCTCCACGAGCCATTCAGTCTTTTTGCGCGTATTGCAGAAAGTGATTGTCTGAAACGCCGGTACGCTTGTGTACAGATCGAGAAAGGCCTTGAGCTTATACTCTTCCTTCTCGACATTAACGTAGAATTGCTTGATGCCTTCGAGGCGGAATCCCTTCTTCTTGATATAAATATGATGGAGATCATGCATCAATATACCGGTGGCTTCGAGAAGGTCTTGCGGCATCGTAGCAGAGGTACAAACAACCTGGGTCGGGTGCGAAAGAAGTTGGGGAATATCGTAGATATGATCCGCGAAACCACGCTGGGAGGCTTCAGTCAGTGACAATTACAAGAGGTTTTGGAACATTGTCTTAACGCTTACAGCAAAGATCTCATCGGCGTCGTCAAGGACGATCAGCTCTATGTTCGCCGTCTTGAGGATACTACGCTGTATTAAATCCCTAAGGCGGCCAGGTGTTCCAACCACAACGTGAGGGGCATCTTGGAAGACCTTCTCATAGTCAAGCATGCTGACTCCGCCAACACAGGCATGACACCGGATATTCATGAAGTCGCTGATAGCGACTATGAGCTCCTGAGTCTTGAAAGCTGACTCGCGGGTAGGAACGAAAATCAGAGCCTGGCAGGCTTTCAAATCAGCTCTTACTTTCTGAAGAACGGGAATAACGCAAGTAACCGTCTTCCCAGCACCGTAAGAGGATTCGGCAATCACATCGTGACCATTGATGATAGGCATAATGGCACACTGCTGGATAGACGAAGGGCGCTCAAAACCGTACGCGTATACTGGAGAGGTATCTCATTTAGCGGCTAGGCGCAGCACAATTCTCTCAATGTATCACGAGCACTTACCACCACGAAGAAGCTCAGACTTGAGATTCATATCATCAAAGGCAACAGCCTTGACGTGTTCAGACTCCGTGTAGTCTGTATTACATAGGTTAGCACTTGAGACATTTTTTAAGAGATATCTGAACCCTAGGTAAACAAGGTTATGCCTCCGTCAGAATGATAGTGTAAAGAGTGATTTGATGCCGCGAGTACTACAGTTCGCCATCCGTATCTCATACCATAGTACATAACCTGACTTGGACAGGAATGGAAAAGCCTACCATCGGGATCATTCTCGAAGTCCGTGTTTAAAGCCATTGTGTTCAGAGTAGCCAGGCAAGGTTCTCTTTGGCCCTTAAAAATGCGGGCCAAGCTGACTTCAATTCAGACTTGTGGAAGAGAGAAAAAATGAATGAAATTAGAGGATTGGAAATGATTAGGAATGTTTAAAGATGAGCCGGAACAATGGAGCTCCGGTCGACTGTTGGCCGCTAGACTCGACGCGATTGGTGCTGGCGCTTATGTCACTTTAGCGGCTGTCACATCCAATGATCCAGCACAGCCACCAAAGCTAGGCAGCCATCCACTGAATCCGCTTCAATCTGGCGGGGTTGATGACTGGATTTCGTTGTGGCGCTTTTATATTGAGGCTGTCGCCCGGATAGCTCTAGTCTGTATCCCGGAGGAACTATTCTGACGTTTCTTTCTCTAGCCCTTACGAGTCGGTTTAACGTTAAGCTCCGTCTCGTTTATTTATCGAGTGTTGATAGAGAAAGCGGTTTGAAAGACATATTAATACCGCTGCCGCGAAAGTGCATCTTCTGGAGTCCTCGATGCCGTAGAGACATAATAGCGGATAGAGATTAGAACAGATCTAAACTTAAATGATGACGATAGAGTAGGCGACGATAGCAGTGAGAAAGAATCCAGCTGGTCCCGATGCATTTCATCTAGCCTCTCGACGTAGTCATATCACAGGAAGGATGTGTCGTCTCAATGACGTGGAATGTAGCTCACAGGCTCTACGAGGCGCGAGTTTGGCCTAGCTATATCTACAAGAAATGTGTATACCGGCAGTAACTTTCATCTCATGGATCAACGCTGCTCGGGGAGGATACCGACCTTATATAACAGTGGCAAGAAGAAAGCTTCGATCGGTTGGCCGACAAATTCGGTAAGCAAATACGAGACGACGTCTTCACGCCTAAGCAATTCCAGGTGGTCATTCTCAGGTACTGAAGTGCTACTAAATCAGCCGTTAACGAGGTTACTAAATAGTTGTCGAGGAGAATGCCATCATGGGCGAGCGCCAGCGACAAAAGAAAGCGGAGTTAGCGAAGAAGGCTAAGAGAAATAAAGCCCTGTAGATAAAGGCGCTTAAAGCCTTTCCTTCATGCCCAGAAAACGACGCACCTGACTAGGATGTTACTAAGGCTAAACAACGGAACAGGTTTCCCAGGCGGCACAGTCGACAAAAAAAGAAACCAATCACGAGGGGCTAATGAGCGACCAGGGTCAGTCGGAACAGACGAGCTCTCCAATTTTTAAAAAAGGCGGCAAACAAGAAGGCAGTCAATAGTTTTAACGGGTCGAAAGCATCGTAAAAAAGAAACCGATACGAATATATCAAGTCTTCGTTGAGTACGGCGTTCAATGTTGAGCTTTAGATAGACTCGCCACATATTGTCATACCTCGTTCGGTGTTTGGCGACCGCAAATCCCCCTCAAATACCAATTCGATCTCCATTTAGCCCCCCGACATAACAATTTCCGGGCCTACGTAGGATTTTCGCCAAGCATGCAACGGTTCGATTAAAGAGAGTAACTGATGCGGCACAGCGGGGGGTTAACGCGGGGTCTGACCTCAGTAAGCACTAAGCATGGCGTGTTTGTCGCGAGACCGTGTGTGGTGTTTTACTGCTGTGTTTTTCCTTCAAAAGTTTTCATCACCTATTTCATTTTGTGAATTTAGAGAAAGTCAATCGCCTGGCCGTGGGGTTGTCTTATCTCATCGCTGCTTGTGTCTATCAGGGTGTCTATTTCTACGACCTTCCTCACATTCGCTTTTCTGTTGAGCCAAATCACTCGCTTTGCAATCAACTCTCGTTGTCGTTGGATCTCTTGCGACCAGCTTTTGTGCTTAATCACAATTAATCACAGAATGACTCCGTCCTATGCGTCCGCGTTCGCGGGTGCCCTTCTCCTCCTTGGCAGACTCCCTGGCTCGGCCGCCGAATTCAAGACCAGCTCTCGCGATGAGATTGTCGCATCTTCCAACAAGCTTGCCAAAGACTTATTCACCGTCTACGAGGGCGATCAGCCTGGCAAAATCCCCGGCATTCTCCCGGGGCCTCCCACCCCGAGCTCGGGCGGCTACTACTGGTATCACGGCGCCAGCTTCTTTCAGACCTACGTCGACTACCAGCACCTGACCGGCGACGACTCCTTCCAAGACAGCATCGTGAAGGCCTTAGCCTTCCAACTAGGCCCCGATGCCAACTATATGCCTCCTAACTGGACCGCCTCAATGGGGAATGACGACCAGTGTTTCTGGGGCACGGCTGCGCTACAGGCTGCGGAGTACCAATTGCCGAGCGCGGATGGCAAGCCCTCATGGATCGAGGTGGCCAAGAACGTTTGGGCGAATCAGGCTTCGCCGGACCGATACGACGAGACGTGCGGGGGCGGGCTGCGTTGGCAGATTATCATGTCGAATGCTGGGTATAACTACAAGAATAGTAAGGATCTTCCCGTCGGCGATGTTGGCTTAGGATAGATGATACTAATGCGCCATTGTAGCCATGTCAAACGCGTGTTTCCTCAACATGGGCGCCCGTCTCGCGAGGTATACTGGCAACACGAGCTATGCGGAACACGCTGTGAAGGCGTGGGACTGGCTCGAAAGCGTTGGCTTCATTAACACCACAACTTGGGAGGTATACGACGGAGCCAACGTGGACGACAACTGTACCAGCCCTGCGAAGTACCAGTGGTCTCAGAACGCGGCTATTCTTACAGAGAGTGCCGCGTTCATGTACAACTTCGTAAGTTTGTCCTGCAAGGAGTTCCTTGTCTCTGGAATCATTCGAACTCAGGCTAACCTCTTTACATAGACGAATGGCTCCGATGTTTGGCATGACCGCGCCAAAAAGCTTGCCGAGGCCAGCATCAAGACATTCTTCCCTAAGGGCATCGCCTATGAAGCCGCCTGCGAAGGTACTAAGGGCAGCTGTCCGACCGACGCCATGTTCATGAAGGGCTATGTCCATCGATGGCTCTCTGTCGCCACCCAGGTGGCCCCTTTCCTCTCAGGAAACGTGCTCACCGTCTTGAGGTCGTCGGCTCAGGCTGCAGCAAAGCAGTGTCAGGATAACTCCAAGGGCATGACGACCTGTGGTTTCTACTGGAGCGACGCCGAGCTCACCGACCCGCAGACTGTAGATAACAGAACGGGGGGCATCACTGGCGTCGGTGAAGGAACGAGCGTGCTGGGTGCGATTTCGGGTCTGCTCATCGGCGACGCCAAAGCGCCCGTGACTAATTGGATTGAGGGCAGTGGGGGCGCTTCCATGCCTGAACCCACTACTAGCACTGGGTCTGGAGGCACTCCCGGTGGAACGGGCGGCTCGCCGTCGCCGACGGAGTCGGATTCACTGGCTGGGCATTTTGGCACTGACGTTCGTATGTTGTTGTTTCCTGCTGTGCTTGGAGCTTGTCTCCTGGCTCTTTACTGAGACTTCATGACGTTACAGTCGAAAAGACATGATACGTCGACATGATTACCCAAGAGCCAATAATGAAGGATATGATGCTCATGGATATGTTGAAAAACCAGTGATCCTAGTCTATAGCTGTAGTCAGATGGCATTGAAATGCTTTCATCAGCCTCATATCCTCTTATGACGCGTCACATGCCTTGCCATCGAGTGGCTGTTGTCAACTCGACTGAGTCTTTAACCCCCTCTCCACTTAATCTGTCATAACATAATGCATAATGTCGTCTTGCAAAGCCTTCACCATCGCGAACAATACTGAGAAAACTGTCTTGATAGCAGAGTCACCGACTGACACCATGTTCTAGGTAACCCTAAGAGACTGACGCGAATATCTTGAAGAACTATCCCCAAATCCTTTTCCTGCTCTTTAAGATACCTGATTACGGTAGCTAAACCCAGTCCGATCAATGTCTCATACATATCCTTTGAGTTGATGATATCCTATTGATCGTTCCATTCTCCCACGTAGTCGCTCGATGATATTTCTCGGAAACTATCGTATAAGAGTGGTAACCGGAAGGTTTGGTTAAGACGACGTCGAAGATAGCTTTGAACTCTGATATAAAGTGCCCGACTGGTTCGAAACGTCGACTATGCTAAACTAAAAAGACTTCTAGTAGTTTTGTTATATGTGCATCTACATCCAGCGTAACCGATTGTTGATGGCGTTTCTGGCTGTCGGTCACGACTGCGGCTGGGTTGGTGGCCGTCGCCAGCCTTCGCGTAGTCCGCCACCCCTGGTCCAGGAGCCAGTCACCCGCGCGGGGTCTTGTCCCGATGTGGGCCGCTGACCTTGTTGCTGCTGTCTTCATGGCCACTTGGTCTCGGTCTTCTCATTGTGGACTTCCTTTCAATCAACAGAGCGGAGTGCACATGAGCTCAACATTTAGAGTACTGTTAACATTTATCATTGTTGTTGAATTTGCTCTATAGGTATTGGAGATCTTGGGGAGATTTCAGCAGCTTACTTTGTATCTCAACGAGCAAAGTCCGGAAGAGAGCAGCAGTATCTATTTTCTGGTGCTGTGCTCCTGGCTCAGTCCCCTGTTTTGAAATGATATCTTAATATTTCTGACTATGGAGGACCAGTTTCTGCTCCATGGACACATTTCTATCACGATAATAGACGCCTGGGCTTAGATTCTCTGTCATGAATCGAAGGAACCTCTACATCAGCCCATATGTGTTGGCTTGTGAGACCGCTAGGCTGGGCTGTCTTTTTCCTTGCCCTACCGCTTCTACGTCCTTCCGGCTTCACATTTACTTAATCCTTCTTTCTTCAGCCCATATTACACCACGCCTTGTCTCTAGTAATGAAAATAAATCAATTACCGCATCTAGGCTCGCTATTGCTATAGTCCTTTGTTCCTTAGGTATTGCAATCTTAATGGCGCTTTACTGCAGTATTAGGTTAACCTACTTACTTTAGCTACGCCCCTCCCCTATCTAGCCACCTTCCCTTTAGTAGGGCTAGCTATAGGAAGGCTTCGCTGAATGGGACTAAAAGTTCTCAAGGTTTACCTAGCCATGGCTTTTTGTCTAGAAGAATGCGTAGTTTTTCTGTAAACGGCGCTTGGTTTTCTCAAGTAAGTGGCTCCTCGCCTCGCTCAATCCGCCATCGATTCGTTGCCTCCAACGCCCTGGGCAAACCTCCGAATAGCCATCTCCATTTATCCAGAAACCCTTCCGTCATTTCCTAACCCGCAATGCTCCACGGCAGTAACTACGTAATAATACTGCGCCGCTAAATCTTATTATTAGGGAATCCCTTATATAACCCCTCGATGCAGTCGGCCTATATCTCGTCCTTATTAAAAGTGCCCGTAGCTAAAATGAGCTAGTTACGTCCCTTAGGACAGGGGAAGAGATCGATCTAGTTGCCATGCGGCACCGTCTGTTAAAGGACGGTGGGCAGGAACGCTAGCAGAAGGGGGCTAGTATTAGTAATAGGGGGTATAACATGGATAATCTCTTTACTATAATCGAGTAGTGTTATGGGGATACCTGAGATAAGCGTGCGGTTGACGGCTAAGGTACGGAGAGCGTTGAATTGAAGGAAGGTGATGAGGTGGTCTGAGCTCAGTGGGAATAGAATCGGGAGTAAAGGTCGTCTTGTGCGGTGTAGCTGCATCATGCGGGAAGCTGGTACGGCGGACACGGCTTGTTGCTCATCATCCCAGCATTGCATAAGATCTTCTGATCCAACCCTTGTCTCGGGAGAGGTACCGAGTTCATCAGTCTTCTTAATGAGGGCTTTTCGCTTTCCTATGTAGGTAGTTGATAAGATGTTTTCTATGAACTTTCGATAACGAGACATTGTCTTCCTAAGTTCTGATCTGGATTAAACAGAGGAGTAGTTTAATATATACGGTATGCTCGGGTATTGAGCCTAGTCTGTGCTTTCCTACGTGCTGCGGCATCTTTGGTTCCAGTCCATTCGTCCTCTCGACTCATCGCCTTGAGCAAATCAGCAACCCAAGCCATGTCGTCTTTAAGGTCTGCCATCACCCATCGTTTAGACGTACCTCTGCCAATTGTGGCATGATGCCAAACTCGACCCAAGTCTCTGGAGCCGCAGGCTGGATACTGATCGCAATGACGCTAGATGGGTCCGACAATGTGTGATGCAGGTTATCGTTAGTCTGACGGTAATGCAGCCTGCTCACAGTCTGACATACTGCACCAGAGATAAGAGTGTTACCTGTCTCACCGGGGCGGTGCAGATGAAGGGCGATTAATGGAATGGGATGATCCCAGTGGTCGTCGCTGTGACGCCTAGCCTGAGTAGGTCAAGCTTCATGCAACCTGCTCACATTCCAAGCTAGGACTAGTCTCATGCAGCCGGCTCACCCAGACCATTGAGGAATCCTTCCTTCGCAAAGTCCGGTGGAAGATTGAATCTTGTTGGCTCAAGGGGGTCTGCGACTTACGTTAACTTATGGATACTCAGGTCAATGGCAAGGTAGAATTGCTCGTACCCGTGGTTAACAAGACTGGTATCAAGAGGCCACGGCATATCGTGTTCGGCAAAATAACAACCTTCTCATCATCACAACACTCATCATCAGATAAGAATAACGATTTTAAGCTGTTATACTATCGATCCACAGGTTCAGCGACGTCAGACTTTCTCCAGGCACTATTACAGAAGATGAGATTCCACCCCGACAGTCTCCCCGACCTCACTGGTCAAACATTTTTAGTTACGGGCGGGAATTCTGGCATGTCAGTCTTCCCACACCTTTCTTCTTTCCCCTGTTCCTCTTTCCAAGGAGTAAACTGGCTAACTTACCAAAACACAGAGGCTACCAGACAGTCGCACGTCTGGCAGAACACGGTGCTCACGTTTACATATGTGCCCGCTCCCCAGACAAAGCAATAACTGCGATTACTAATATCAAAAAGATATATACCTCGGCTAACATCGACCTCTTATAGATGGATCTCATGGACCTTGCTAGCGTCATTACCGCCGCTAAACAGCTCTGCATGGTTTGGTCAACAACGCAGGCATTATGGCAACTCCGTTCGAGTTAACCAATGACGGGTACGAGGCATAATAGTAGACTAATTACCTAGCGTACTAGATCTTGATAGACCACCTGCTTCCTCTTATGCTACGGACCGCTAAGAAAATTCCTCCTAGTAGTATTCGTATCGTCAAGATCACTTCGTCGGGCCACTTGGGGGCGCCCCAGGGCGGCATTAACTTTGACGACCCGTCGCTCAAAGAAAGCGGCGGCCCATGGTCTCGATACGGGCAGAGCAAGTTGGCTAATATTCTACATACCATGGCGCTGCACCAAGAATATGGCCCCGACTCACAGCGCGCGCATAATGGGGGCGGCGAGATATGGGTGTCGTCCGTTCACCCCGGCGTGGTCGACACGAACCTTTCCGGATCGGTGGGGTCGCCCGTGATGAGCTTCCTTTCCGTTATGCGCTGGTTCGGACTGATTTTGCCTGCGGATGAAGGATCGTGGAATACTTTGTTCTGTGCTGCGGTTTCGGATATGAAGGCAGAGTAGAGCGGTAGCTATATTGATATATTTTGGCAGTTCGGGGAGTCTTGGTGGTAGAGTAGTGCGGCAAAGGATGGACCGCTTGCGATGAAGTTGGAGGTGTGGACGAGAGCGATAATGGGAAAAGAGGGGTGGGCTGAGGGTGGAATGAAGTGATAGTTTGAACGCGTTTTTAGACGTCTTGCCTATGTTTTTGGCAATCAGTTTGCCTTGCTCAGGCCTGGCCGACTCGGCGCAGTAAGGCTTCAATATTTCTCTAGATCTTTGATTAGCTTTGAAGCTGCCTGGTATCTCACCGGCGCTCAGTATTCATTTGCCAAAACGCTTCTTAATACGTCTCGCCATACTCGCTTGTTACAAGTCTACTGTCCCTTGTCCTATAAGTCGTGACACAATATGTCTTGTATAGTATAAAGAGGATATTGAGGTCACGAGAGGGAAAGGAGTCTTATTCAAGAATTGCCAATGTCATTTGACCGCACGTTAATGAGCTATGGCTAATGTCTATCCTATAGACGTAGATACTATGTTACCTTAGCTATCTAGGGCGTCGTTTTCAGTCGAAAACCATACGCGGGAAACAAAACCAGTAATGAAAGTCTGATATATGTAGATCTTTATTTTATGACGCCCTGGGTAAACTATTTGGGCCGCACAAAATTTTTAAGGTAGGATTTACTTTTATTTCCACTCTTAGCCTCCTAGCTTACCAGCTTATCATATACGTTGATTTAGTTGAAAATTCAGACTTTAGGTCTCTTGTTATATATGACTCCTTTCCTGTAATTTCAGTACATTGATCGAAGCCGAAGATAGCCTTCTAGTAGGATTAATGTAGCTAAGGTAAGTACTGAATTATGAAAGATAATTAATGACCTAGCGTGACCCCTTTAACACTTAAAGGCCGTCTGGTGCTGTTAAGTCTTTTTTTACGTAAGCGCGGGACACGGCGTTAATAATAAGAGCAGAAGCCCCATTTATCCTAACTCAGTTTCCTGCAACCTTTACTCATCATAGCAACCATGCCAAGGTCGCTTGCACGAAAGAACGATGGTAGGTTGTATATTACCAACGCTATGGGGCGACCCTGTGCCGCTGATATCGATGAGCCCCGTGTGACACGACTGATATGACTTCTTAGGATGCTACGAGTGCTGTAAAAGGCGGCTCCGATGCGATAAAACCGAACCAGAATGTCTCAAATGTCGAAAGAAGGGAATTCAATGCTCCGGGCAAGGCCTACGGTGTCGCTTTAGCAGCCACATGAACCCTCCGCAGTCACAAGAAGCGACATCACATCATTCACGACTCAGTTCCAGGCGACGAACCACACCTACCTCTTCATCGACTATCCAGGCGATGCCTCGCGAGCGACTTACTGATGACAAGACTTGCGACACATCTACTATAGACCTTCCTTGCGGTATAGCTTCCAGACAAATCGAACCAGAAAATACCGCACGAGTGATGCCATTACGGGCCGGATTAGATGCAAATAATATCTCTCCGCAAGCAAGGATGCTATTTGATCATTGCAGGTTATCCCTTTATCTTGCCTTGATACTTTTCGTCTAATTGATACTAGTCTGTTCACACATCGCGCCGATGATGGTAGTTCTCGATATCGCAGGCAATGGATACCGTGATATTATCCTTCCACTGGCTACGCAGGACGACGTCCTCGCCAGAGCGATCTCGGTAGTTGCAGCATTTCACCTTACCCGGAAAGCTCCGCATCTACGACAACCAGCTATTGCAGGACATCGTGCTATTCTCGAGAGGCTGCAGAGAGACTCATTGCATCTTCCTCCGGAGCGGATCTTCACCCCTTACACTTGGGCAACAATTATGGTGCTGCTGGTCGGAGAGACCATCACTGGAGCTGACAATTACCTTCACCTTCTTGAAGCGCTCACATGCTTACGACAATCTCCCGAAGCAGTGGACGCTTTGCCCTCTGCTTTGCGAAATTTCTTTTGTCAGCAAGTCAAAATGTAGGCAAGTGTTCACCTCTGGTCGCTGAATGGTGCTGACCATCTCGATTTAAGGTTCGAGCTGTTTGGCTTCCCACTATCAAGCGAGGAGAAAGGAGCCCTTGTCCTTCAACGAAAACCGGATTATTATATGGACTTCATGACGTATCCCACTCTTCCTTCGGCGTCCGAGCACTTGGCCAACTTACAGATCATGCGAGCAGCCATTTGCGACGCCTGCATGCTTTATCAGCAGCGGACTGCATCCTCACTAGCGACGCCAGATTTTACGTCGCACGTGGAGCGGCTTCGCCAGCGAGTTCTCCCTCTCGAAGCACACACTCCTGGCGCCCATGCACTCGTCTGGACCTACTTTGTGGCTGCGTCTGAGAGCATTTTGCCGGATCACCGAGTTTTCTTTTCTTCGAGACTAAGAGAGATTTATGACCTCACCGGTTTTGGCAGCATACCCGCCGCGCTGACAGCGTTGGAGACAATTTGGGCAATGCAAGGCATCAAACGGTGGACAGAGATCGCTTGCAAAGACTTGCCGGTATTAGTCATGTAACAGGTGACAGGTTCAATCTCGCAGTTTATGTTGTCTCTCTAGGTTTACGTTTGCAAGTTGCTTGAAAAGACTTCTCCTACACCGAAAGAATTGCCACTCTCTATTCTATGCCAGCTTTGACCTCATACGGACATGCTCTCCCCGCCCAAGATCATTCCTTACGGTCAAAGCCGCGCGAGTTCCCTCTTCAATAGCTCCGTCAATGAAGCTACGCCATCCCAAAGCCCAGTCTGAACTTGCAAAGAACACCTTGCCATGACAAGCTCTCATGTCATTCAGATGGTTGGACAAGAGACCTGGCCCAGGGAAGAACCTGGAATAAATATTAGCGCAAGTGCTGAATCAAATACGAAGAGTTCATAACCAACCAGGCGCCTTTTGCAAATTCGTCCTTGGACCAGTTGTGGAATACCTGTAGGGCTATCAGCCGACAGAGCTTGAAAGAGCGGGAGACGCTTAGCTTACAATTCTCTCGATGTTCATGGGAGTCAGCCCCTGAAGAGCCTTCTTCGTGGCCTCGATGTCTTCATCCGGCTCGAAATGGTTGTGCTGACCACCAAAAGCCACGATATGAGTATTCCCGGAAGGAGTCTCTCCGTCCCCTAGTGCATAGAAGAGTCCATTGTGCGGGTAGCTGATGCCTGTGTAAGACCTTAGGTCTCGGTCACGCACCTCAGCATGCACCTTGACGCACTGATTTACGTGCCCAATGCTGGCAGCAGCCTGTTTCCCCTGGGGTAGGGGCGGATCAAAGGTAACGTTGTTTAACACGTTCAGGGGGATGGCGCTGATCATCCTCCGCGCCTTGAATCTTTCGGCCTGTCTCGTGGTGACTTCAACTCCGGCAGTCGTGTTTCTCACTGTGGCGATTGGCGAGTTGAACGCGTAAGTGAGGTTGCCCGTGGCTAAGGCCTCCTGGAAGAATCGTATGGCGAAACTGGATTGGCCGCCGCGAAATTTGTACTTTACAAGATAATCAATGCATCCCTCGTATGAGTAGGCACACAAAGCCCACCAATGGAGAAATTCGAAGAAGCTCGTCGTTTCGAGAGTTCCTCCGCTGCAGAGCAGAACAAATGATTCCACTGCCAGACGCTCATTTGGCGTCAGGGAATCCTGAATTTCGGCTAGACGATCGGCAACCGACATGCTGTCCAGTTTTATTGCCTCAGAAGAGAACTTGCCGGTGTGGCTGAAAGGTATAACGTTCTTGCCGTACGCTCCGTCGACGTTCACGAGTTTGCGAAGGCCTGACTCAACAATTTTATCCTGGATACCGTCAGCACAGCGCCTCGCTCGTTGAGGCCATCCACGCACCTCTTCGTCGTGGGTGAATCGCTGAGTTGTTCTCCCATTAGAGATATGGTACTCATTGATCCCGCGGGAAAAGTCGTAAGACACCTCCAATTCGTCCTGCATCTGGTATCGCATTATCTCGCGCCACACATTCGGCTGTCCCCAGAAAACCCATGTCCCACCCATCTCAAATGGATAGCCTCCGATGTTAGATGACCATGACCGACCACCTATTCGATCGCGTCCCTCGAGGAGGAGTACCTTCAGGCCTGCGGCACGCATCATTTGTCAGTGGCGAAGGTCGTCAACGACGGGAGAAGTATTACCTGCAACAGCAGCATCTCTTGCAGCAGTAAGTCCGCAATATCCAGCGCCTGCAACAATCACGTCGTAAGTAACGTCGTGGGCAGAGGTCAGGTTGCTAGGAGGCTGAATGGCGCCAATACACGGTACTCCAGGCTTCAGACCATCCTCCTCGGTCCATGAAAAGCCATCTCTCGATGCCATGGCCCAAGATTTGACGATGATTGACTTTGAAGGGAAAGACTTTTGGAATTGAGAGAATTGACCAATTGATGAGAGGAGACCAACACACACGCACTCATGAGGTGGCAGAGCTTCCCGACTTAAGTAAGTACTGGGCGAAATTGAGGCCCGACACCCACGGACTTAGCTACCCCGTCTCGCAAAATTGTCATCCACATCACGACTTGACTCACCAGGTGCCGCTCATCGGCGCGGGAATCTGGAACCTACGCCTCTTCGCTTGATGAGATAAAGTATTGCCTGAACCAGAGGGTTGATCGAGCGCTCGTGGCCCTACCCCTGGAAGCAGTCCCACCTTTATCAAAAAAAAGTCTCGAGAAATTCCCTATTTTGTCCTAGCCTTAGGATACCTTCTGCACCCCGCACTTTAGCTTTGTCCCGCCATGCAGAGTGCTCGCGAATTTCCTCAATCCGGCAATTTTCAGAGCAGTTCATGAAAGAGATAAGCGAAACCCAATTGGCTGGGAATCGCTTAGATTCAATCTTCGGTAACGCATGAGATAGCATTCGAGGCTTGTCACGAGTTTCACTCGTCCAAGCAGATAAGACATCGCCGCAGATTCGGATGAAGGATACCGTCATGTTGCCTGTCATGAAGGGTAGCTCGTTGTTCAGCTTGTGCGTGTTGAACGGCATGATACCTCGTTATCTGCCACCCAGTCTTCGCTGATGAACTACAAATGAGATGGGCAGCCCACTTGCGCTCTAGTATGAATTGCAAGTCCAGCCATAAGGTGGTCGGTTTTCAAGTCTACGACTCGAAACGACCGTACAACATTTCATTCACTCCAGCCGTGATGTCGCCTCCGAACAATGGCCACCTTCAGGCCCGCCTGTCTGGCCTCAACATGGTGGCAATGGCTTTTGCGATTCTGAAGTAAGCCCAGTCTCGTTCCCTCAAGGAGCATGTAGTTGACAGACGCACTTCAAAGTACTTGGATTGCTCTAGCAGGCTCAATCGGACTTGTGCTTCCGTCTGGCGGGTCTGTTTCACTTCTCTACGGCTTCGTCTTTTGTGTTTTATGCAACCTCGCCCTGACGGCGAGCCTCGGCGAGCTAGCTTCCATATGGCCTACAGCTGGTGGCCAGTACCACTTCGTCTATGCCCTTTGCACCAATAAGTGGAAACGAGTCATGGTAAATCGCTCTCCCCAGCCCATTTTGGTTGCTCGATGTACTGAAACTGGACATAGAGCTTTTGGGTCGGCTGGACAAACATTGTCGGATGGCTAGTCGTTGTGACTGTCCAAGGATTTTTCGCCGGTAAATATCGATCCTTCGCAGCCTGCAGTTGACTATAGCTTACGCCAATCCAGCTCAATTCGTGTGCGCCGCGTCTGTCGTCGCCTCTAATGGAAGATTTGTAGTCACGCAATGGAATACATATCTAATCTTTCTCGCCATTTTAACATTCGCCACTGTCGGTAACATTTGGGGCAATAGAATCCTGGGCAAATGGAATGACTTCGCTAGTAAGGAGACCCAAACCTCGAAGTTTCTGTTGCTTGTCAAGAGCTCACATCATGAAGTGTTCTGGTCGATTCTTGGTGTTATTATCATCAGCATCATTCTCTTGTCTCTCCACGACAAGACAAACGCAGACTACGTATTCACGTCCTTCAACAACGAGACAGGTTGGCCCGACAGCATTGCCTGGGTTCTCGGTCTTCTACAGTCCGCTCTTTCCCTCATTGGCTTCGACGTCATCCTCCATATGATGGAAGAGATGCCTAATCCATCCCGCGACGCCCCACGGGCCATGATTTACTCTATTGTTGTTGGAGGAGTGACGTCAGTATACCGCTCCCTTTGCCACCTACTAGCACACTTACATATCGAACAGTGGCTTTGCCTTCATTCTTGTTATGCTATTTTGCTTCACCGATCCAACGACGGTCCTTGCAACCAACACTGGCATGCCCATTGTGGAACTCATGCTACAAGCAACTCGAAATCCGGCCGCAACCTGTGTGATGACCATTATGCTTGCAGTCTGCTTCATCAATGGATGCACTGCCAGCACTACCAGCGCTAGTCGGCTTCTTTACTCCATGGCACGAGATAACGGTATCCTGTTCCCTAAATACTTTTCACACATTACTCCAGGCCACAATGTCCCTACTAACACCATACTAATGTGCTATGGCTTCAACATCCTGTTCGGAACGTTGTATCTGGGACCCACGGTTGCCTTTGGAGCATACATAGCGTCATGCACTATCTTTTTGAATGTTTCGTATGCATTTCCCATTATCGCCCTGCTTGTAAGGGGGCGAGATATTCTGTCGCAGCATCAAGTGCCGAATGCACCATTCAGGTTGGGGAGGTGTGGCTATGGTATCAACTTGATTGCTGCTTTATTTGTCTCTGTCACTTCAATCGTAAGCCCTTTTTGCTTTCGTCGACAAATGGAAATGCTAACAAATACCAGTTCTTTTGTTTCCCCGTCGCTCTGCCAGTCACCAGTGATAACATGAGTCATCTCACCCCTATCCCCAGGTAGATTGGTATGTACTAACAACATAGCAGATTACGTCTTAATTGTGGTCGCAATCTTCATAATCATTGTTGAGAGCTACTGGCTTGCATACGGGCATAGATTCCAAGTCGAGGTGAGCATCATTGTCTTCTTCTTCTCATTCTCACTATAAGGGAAAGTCGGTGGCTGACCCTTAAATTATAGGGAATTCAGGTTATTCTTGGTCAGCACGACAGTGTAACGGCCAACAATGCGTATGAGCTGGGCTTGGATTTTGGGACTACAGACCAAAAGACTTCGGAATGAGGGTTAGAATTAGACTTTGTCTATAACGAAATCATTCGGGAGGATTATGCGGAGCGGAATCTCTACTACACCTGACAGTAAACTGAATTACAATCTAGTTTTAGGATTAAAGGTCATGGCGTAAATTCTAAATGAATCTTCCCGTGTTATGCGTAGCTTTTTAAGGGGTCTTGTCAATTTCATACTCATCTAACACTGTGTTTCTTATTCTCTTAATTACGAATTTGCTTTGAGTATCAAACTAGAGAAAAACTAGAGATTTGTACTGATGCCGACTCTAAAACAACGAGACATCTATCTCATTCCTCAAGTGCCCATTTATCCCATCGACTGCTACAAGGCGACAGTACAATAGTCTCTAGCTTTTCTCCAAATTCTCTAAGATATAAATTTTTTGATTTGCGGATATAGTAGAAATAAATCGGAATAACGCCTGATTAGTTCTTCCCCCGTACTCGGATGTACTGTCGCCTTGTAGCAGTCGATGGGATAAACTCTGTTTTATTGATTTCTTTCATTTAGGCCGAGTTGGAGCTATTATCCTTTTTCGACTCGCTGGCGACAGCAATAATCGCGGGTGGCTTGGGAACCTTTTGTCGGAAGACATGGCGCTGGAAGAAATAGGGAATAGAGTACTTGATCTCGTGGCTGATGAAGTGTTTTGTCGGAACGGAGAAGACCTCTGGTGGTGGGGGTTAGCACAGCGACGCAATTGAGGAAACAGTTCGACATACGGTCCAACTCTTCCAGAGTGAGTTGCTTAGTTTCTCGGACGAAACAGAAAATCATGCCCCAAGCAATTAGGTTGAGTCCAGCGTAGAAACCAACTATGCCAGCGAGGTTAGTTACAGGACAAGGATCAAAATTACCCGAAGATACTTACAAGCACCAGTTGGAGTCATGGCAGTGCTCATGCGCGGGAAGGTCAAGCTGAGAATACCAGCTGTGGAGCTTGTCAGTCAGAATTCCTCGATATAATGATTGCATGGCTTACCGAAGGTGTTGTTAATGCAGACAACCCAGGCCATTCCTTGCTCACGCTGGATGGTAGGGAAAACTTCGGCAGAGTACTGGAAGGCGACAGGGCCTTCACCCAGGGAGTAACAGATGGTGAAAAGGTAGATGAATCTGGTTGACAGGACTGTTAGTCTACCTTAGGTGAGGTATCCATACAAGTGGTACTACTCACAAAGCGACAGGTCCAATCTTTGGCCCACGGTCTTCCGTTGGGTTCAACAGGGACAAGCCAGCAGCCAGGAGGAAGATGCACATCAGAGGGAACGTCTGAGGCTGTTAGTTTGCATTCAGCAGATTTGGCTCATGTTAACTCACGATCATGCAGAGAGTCCTTCGGCCCTTGGTGTCAATGAGGAATAGGGTAGGGATCGTCGCAATCACTTGGATGGCGCCGTACCCCAAGGAAGCATACAGGGCCTCTACGGGCGTGTATCCTGCATCGACGAAAATTGTAGAGCTGTAGAAGGAAATGATGTTGATTCCGCACCTAGGTAATTGGGTCAGCATAACAAATTAAGGATGAAGATTAGGAGGATTCGCACATTTGCTGAGCAAGCATCACAGTGCTAGCACCGTAGTTGGCGCGCCTGATTCTAGGGATGGAAAAACAGTCCCATAGGCGACGGAAGTAACCAGCGCCACGAGCCTCCTTGAGCTCCTCCTCATATATAACCCACGAGTAGTAGAAATCTCTGGCCCCGATAATATTATGGGCTCGAAGTTTGCACATGGAGCGGAAAGCCTCGGCGTGTCGGCCGTGCTTCATGAGCCAACGCGGGGACTCAGGGCAGAAGAATATACCAATAGCCAAGATGAAGGATGGGATGAAGGCCGAGCCCAGCTGGAGTCGCCAGGAGATATCGCCGGTATCCTTGACAATGACATTTGCGCAGAAGCCCAGAAAGATGCCTGCGACGACCCAGAGTTGCCAAAACATGACGAGTGCGCCACGGACTCTGTGGGGAGCCATTTCAGCGGAGTAAATGGGCACAGTGGCGTTCTTTGCGCCGATGCCGATGCCCATCACGAAACGCGCTGCGAAGAGACCTTGCCATGTTTGCGCAAAACCGGAGCCGATCGGTGTAGCAGTAAGGCACAAAGCCGTGATGAAGATCTCGCCGCGTCGGCCAAAGTAGTGGTTGAGAGGATCGACAATGAAGGCGCCACTGCGTGCGGGGAGTTAGCAATTGCGATAGGACCCGGGGAATGATTGTGACCAACATCAGACCAGCCGTGAGAAAGATGATGGAATTAATCAGACCAATGAGCCACTCGTCTCTGGAGGACCCGCTGTTGATGCCAAGTGCCTCGTGGAATGTCAGGTTGGCACCGTTGGAACCAGTCTGATCCCAACCCTGGGTCGCGGCTCCGATGGCACAGAGGCCGATCGAATACCACAGCATCTTCGGGCCGTGCCATTTATGGTCCCGCTCATATTCGAGCGCTCGACGCTCGTCTTCGGGGAGGTCTGCAACGTCGTTGAAGTTGTTCATGTCGCGCGCGACCATCGCCGCGCGACCGAAGAGGGCGGCATGTTCACCCAGGTTGTGCGTCTCGGCGAACGCCACGGCATCTTCGACCGTTTGTTGTGGGGTTTTGCGCTGCAAGAAGAAGGCGTGTCAATGGTTTTGGGAGCGTTCCTCGACTCATGATCCTGAGCCTCGGCGCAAACAGGAACTCACCTTAAGCGGGTTCTCGACGATGTTGACGGCGGAGGCCTTTCCGCTACCAATACCCTCAGCGAGCTCCGTCTGGGGCTTCAAATCGCCGCCTGTGTCCTTCTCGAACGCATCGTCCGAGTGAGGGACGTGGTCGATTTCGTTGATTCCCATGGTTAGCTTGGCAGCGTTCAAATTGGCTTGGCGGGATCCAGAAATTGTGGCAGTTCACTGTGAAATGTGCGACTTGCGCCAATTGATCAACGATGAGCCAAGTAACAGTAGTAAAGCCAAGCAACGGGACCGACCATGGCCAAGTCTTATGTATTTCCGGCCAGACAGGCTGTCTCTGCAAGAAGGCGGCTCCATTAATCACAGTTCCAAGTTCCAACACCCAAACCCCAGACGCTTCCAACTTCCCCGCTCTCCGCACTGGGGTAAGCATGAGGTGGGGATTCATCCATCAAAGGCACCCAAGCAACAACATCAGGAGATGATCATCCGTATCTACATAGTATGTAAGCCCCTCGTCTGACATTTCGGCGTGTCGGGGATATCGGTCCCAGTTGGACTCCGCCTTTTGTCAGTAAACTCGAGCTCTCGAGGCAGTTGGGAGCGCGTTCACGGGAGTTTGCAGGTTTTCATTGGAAGGTTTGAGATGAAAGAGTGGAAACCAGTGAAGCTAGTGTTGCCGATCATGTCTTGGCCTTCCCGCCTGCCTCCTGATTAGATGTACTCCTGGACTTAAACATGCGTCATAGGTTCAATCAACATGGGTTTTCACGCTCTGGGCTGGCAGGCACGCAAGCTGGTTCAACAACTCGTATCTCCAAGCAACAGTTCACCCCGAATCCAACGTTACTTACTTTGAGTGGGTAATCACCACTCCATTTTACCTACGTGGAGTCCAGAACTTTCCCCGCACGAAAGCCCGGTCTTACCATCGTTCTGAGCTTCGTTTGGGGTCTGAAAATGACCTAGCGGATTTGAATCATTTAAGAAGCCGAGGGCAATGATTCCAGCGCGGTCTAGTGTAGTCCTCATCCCCATCTCAGTCGACACAAATGCGGAGAGACGCTATTATATTACCCCGAGATTATCAGTCCATGTTACCCTAAGAACAGAATAAATGGAAGTTAAAAAACCGTCCCAGCCATCATCGCTTGCTCATCCATCTGCCGCTACACATTCACCTTCCTCGTACTCCAGCTGCCGTCATGTCTCTCAGTACACGTGTCTTTGATCTATAGCTCGAGTAACACTGCTCTCGTTCAGCATACACTAGACTGCGACGCGAGAATCCTGGCGGTTTGAAGGTAACGCCGCAAACTAGACGTAACTTAGATATAATCTTGATATTATGAAGCGGGGTGCTACTGCCATGCCCTACTGTTCTGCTGAGCGAAGACGAGTCTGCCTTCACGCCTGCTAAAGCATGTGGGTATAGTGTCCGATCGGAGACCCCCTGGTCGAAGTCCGTCACCGTTGAAAAGGGTCTGCTATCGCCGGACTTGGCAAGGCTCGCGCCAATAACGACGCCGGATAAAAGGGCGAATCGGAATGCCACACAGCTGTCGGCACTCCTTGGGAAAGATTTCTTAATCCATGGCGAAGTCTACGGCGCGACTCTACATTACCGCTCTCGGTGAATATGAAGCACGGCTCAAAGACCAGCGCATTGGGAATTTTGCTCTCGCTCCCAGAACATCAGTACCTTATCTAAGGTCGAACACGCTAGGCAAAAGCGAAGGAATGATGACTGCAGGATTAGGGTGCTTGGCTTCGCTACTTACTTCTGCTCCACCGGATACCCTGACGTCGTCCTTCTCGCACATTTGATTTTTGCAAAAGGACTGGCATGTCTTCAGCATGCTTGTGTATTGAGATGAAGTATTCCCTGCCACAGTATTGGATTTTTCAAAACACATCTTTCACTTGACTCTTGGAGCAGTTTTATTAGTCTCTCGATGGGGCAACAATACTCACACCCCCGGAAAGGCGCAAAGATGCAGGTCATCTGTGCAGGGCTGTCGCGTACTGGAACCAGCTCGATCAGCCGTGCTTTAGAGATGCTACTTGATGGGCCGGTCTTTCACGGCGGAACTCAGTTATGTCTCGGCCCTGAAGCGGAGATTAAATCATGGATGAAGGTGCTTTCAGAGTGGCCACCGACGAATGCGGCCATGGAGCAGGAAATCCTGAACACTATACGCGTTCGCACTGACGGCTATGTTGCTATCACTGACGCGCCTGGTTGCAACCTCGTCCAAGAGCTTGTGACACTATACCCAGACGCCAAAGTCGTCTGCACAGTCCGTGATGATGAGGCCTGGGAGAGGAGCATGGGAGGGTTGAATGACGAAGTGTCACCATCAGCTTTGCACTTCATACTCTTCCTGCTTCCCACGATGCGACTCTTCCCAGCCTACGTTCAAATCCTGATCTCGCATTGGGTCAAACTATACGGAGAATCAAATCCACCAACGGTCAAAACATATCACCGCCATATCGCGTACCTGAAGAGTGTTGTTCCGCCGGAGCGGCTGATCTTTTACGACGTACGCGACGGGTGGAAGCCCTTGTGCAAGGCACTGGATCGCCCAGTACCCGAAGATGTACCATTCCCCAATATTAATGATGGCAAGGCTATTCAGACGTTCGCAATGAAGCAAATCAAGCGGGGTCTTGGGACATGGCTTTTGTGTTTCAGTATAATAGGAGTTGGCAGCTTCATGCTTTTCAAGGCTTGGGGCACTCTATTTTGAATTTGTTTATTTGTTGAGCGACATACTGGGAGTGAGGAAGTCTCAGAGTGTGGTATGTGCTCTTGTGGAAGAATCAACAGGAAGACAAAATGATTATATTTTTGCGCTTTAGCTAACTTTGTGAGCAAAAGAGTCACGCAAAGTGTTTTGCTCTCTATATACATGTATGTCTCTGCTGCTTCCATGCTCCTAAACGACCCTTCCGTTTCTGAAGCTTCCAGCCCTTGAAAGTCTTTCTAAACCTCCCACATATCGGAAGGCTTCAATTGAGTATCCTATCGAGTATGAAGTAGCTTCAGTATATACGTCTGTGGATTTCTTGGACGTCGATCCCATGTTGGTTTATTAACTATGTGTATCGGAGAAAACTGAGCGGTAGTAGAAGGGAATAATGAGGAATAGAACCCCACTAGCTGCTACTACCTGCTACTTCGCCCCTCAATATACTAATACCATTCCGCAGTCAATGGGATACCTCCGTGGTCATGATGATAGGAGGTGGTATGCGTAAGCCATCGCTCGATTCATTATCAAGTCATAGTCCTGCGAAACCGACTTCTCATCGTTCCACATGTATCCTGCTCTCCAGAGTTTCACTAGGATGCATCACTGCTTGTTCTGCGTACCACTCCCCAACGTCTCACTCGACCTTACTCTTCACACGCACCTCTGCAGTACTCTGCGCCAGGTGGCGGAGGGCATCTTGCGCCTGTGGGCACAATTCCGCTCGCTCCACCAGAGACACCCTCTCCGTTGAAATAACACTTACCAAGATCCTTCTCACAGGGGTTCCCAGGTCCGGGACAACAGTAGCCGTAAGCATTGATATCAAAATTATAACAGGCCACAGGCTCGACGCTTGCGGGTTCGGAAGTAGTCGTTGGCGGAGCGGGCGCAGCCGTCGTAGTGGAAGGCATGAGTGTTGTAAGAAATGATGTAGGCTCTGGGATGATCACTGCGATGGACGATTCATTGTATACAGGCCCATTACCGAACTCAAGACCACTCAGCAAATCGGTAAGAAGAGTAGAATTGGCGTCGTGAAGGTCTCTGCAGTTGAAGTTGTCGCCATTGTAAGCCCTCGAAGTCTCGGCGGGGCAGTTGGAAGTCGTAGTAGACCAAGCCGAACGGGAGGTGGATGAAGGTCTTGCTGAAGGTGTTGTCTGAATGGACATTTGTGTCCTCTCAGGTTGATCCGACTTTGGTTTCTCAGCTTCCGGTTCCTCAAAAGTCTGCTGGGAGACGACAATCGTTTGGCCTGCAGCGATGGCGACCGTTTGTCCGCCCATTGTAATAAAACCTCCTCCTGCACCGCCCACAACCACCATCCCAATGGCGACAGCAAGCACAGCACCGTTCGATACGTCGACTGGAGCTGCTGTTGGTGAGGTCGTTGGCTTCGTAACTGTGGAACTAAAAGGCGCTTCCAATGAAGAGCTGCTGGGTTTGTAGCTGCTCGGCTTATAGTTGCTAGACGAGGAATAAAGCGAGGAGAAGGACGGTATCTTCGTAGAAGAGGGCCTTCTTGTAGAGGTGGATCTCAAAGGGGTAAACGTTGAGTTCAACACAGGTCTCCAGGTTGGAGCTTGTGAACGAATCGGGGCTTGTCGTTTGTGATTGGGATTACTGCAGCTGTCGGAAGACGCTGGTGCGCCAGCATTTGGGAATGCTAACACGTCTATGGTGAATAGAGCAAAATTCTGAGCGTTTCTCATCTTATCGGCGTCAGATAGACGAGCGCAGCTGCCGGACAGTTAGCTACACGCCGGCAAATCGTGAATGGAACCTGGGTGAATAGACACCCATGAACGTACCAACTTGGGGAATAGCAGGTGTCATGGCCGAATACGTCAGGAAATGGCTCTGACAAATCCTCGGCAGGCTCGCTGGGGCTCGTTCCTTTAGCCATGTGCTGGACTTCGTGAACTAAGATGCGTCCTTTAGAGTTGCCTGAACCAAAGCCGAGCGTTCTCTGCCATTCCTTGATCATCTCTGCGTTGTTGTTCTTCAGTTCGAAAAACGCTGGGCAGAGAACAAGCACCAAGGGGCCGAATTCCTTGGTTGTACCGTCTTGTTTCATCCCCGTTGCTCGCAAATTGGATGCTAGCACTCCATCCTGGCACATTCTATCGTCGACTGGCGGGCAACCGTACACGATCGAGTCGTCTGTCGGTGGCGCCTCGTTGATGGGCGCTTTGAATTCGGCGTGGGTGGTCCATCGAAATGCCGCAGGAATGTTTGGATAAGGAAGATGCGACAATACTGTTTTGTAGTGCTGGTTGATGATTGCATCCTTCGTTGCGGCATTGGCATTGCCTACACGAAATTATAATTAGTCCACGTTGTCTCTAGAAACGATTCGCTACCAGAAACAGGTCTACATACTTGATCCAAACCAGGTATCAAATGAAATGGATGTTTCAGCGCCTTCGACTTGAAGCACTTCTATGGTTTTCTGGGCGAGCTCTTCTGCCTCGTTGATGGCTGCATCTAGAAGTCGAAGTTTTGTAAAATCACACTTCCACGATCCTTGCACAACATAGTAGGCATTGTCATAGGTGTTTGTGCTGTCGCGTTGTGCCAGTCCCTCGTCATTGGTGTTGATGACTGCTGCTGCACCGAGATATAGTCTGCAGGTGAGCAGCAAGCCCCAGAGAAGGCGAAGACGTGAGTTTGAAAGAGCAGAGCTCATAGTCAACGTTTAAAGAACACTAGTATGTGTTGACTGAGCCTGTAATGAATGTGATAGTGAAGGATAGAACGACGAGGGATGTAGAATTTGGGTGTGGACAGTGTCTATAGATGTATTGCAGTTGTGGTGCAATTGCCTGACCCCGATAATCCCTCCGAAGGATCCGACGGATACCGTTCGCCCTAAACTACGAGTCGTGTATTTATGTAGATGAAGTTAAGTAGATTGAGAGACCGCGTTCGGGAGCAGGGATGATTGACTCGATGGCGTAGCCATTTTGTTGGTTGGAGTTGCGAATACTCCATACCAATTAGCACCGTGCACTACGGTTTTGAATTTCCCTCGCTCTTAGGCTCTCAGCCAATTTCGCTAATTCCCTAGTGCACACTATTAAGGATCATACTTTCTAGCATCTTGTGACAGGCAATAGCAAAAGGTTCGAAACCATATATTGAGGTGGGCAGCAAGTGAGCAGGAAGTGAGGTGGGCGAAACGCGCTTGCTCCTCCCTATGACCGGCCTCATACTACTTCACAGTCGAGATTCTGAGGCCCGGCGATTAATATAGCATCCAACGCCGTATCTGAGAAGTCCTTGGGCTCTGGAAGGGAAAACGACCCACCAAAACGGCCATCGATCTGAAAATAAGTCGTCGCCCCGCCTTTCGGTCTGTCTCGTTCGTTTTGACAGCCCCACTGATTCACAGTAGTCTCTTAGGAGGACACTTGCACCTGGCCCGCTATTGGATGAATGTGCGTGTATTTTGTGATACAGCTATCTTGATTAATGAAATTTTACACACCAAAAGGATCATGACTGGGTACATATACGAATGCTAAGACTCCACCCCACACGACGGATCACCCCCTACGACAGATCACCCAATTCGGCCACATTCACTCAAAAACCACTAATTCTACCTACTTTATTTTATAATATTAAAATTATATAAAAGATACTTTTAGATATATAATATATAGTTTTTTTATAAAAATATTTTTTAGAAATTATAATTTTCTATATTAACTAAGATATTAGTAAGTTAAATATAACGTTTTTTTACTATATAAAAATGAGATTTTTAACTTTATCAAAAATTCTAGCACGTATAGCTTTAACGAGGTGATACGGGATATTCTTATAAAAGAATATAAAAAGTAAATATTCATATAGAAGCAAGAATATATGAATATAGGGGAAATAAGCGTATATAAAAGAGGTTTTTGTAGTAAAGAGAGTAGTATAGTTAAATTACTATATGAGAAGTTGCTTGCTTAACGAAAGGTCTAAGTAGGTAAATACACGCCTATATATAGGCATAAAAACCTCCTACTAGAATATTCCATTGCTTATTAATTATTTCATAATTAATAAGCGCATACGTAAGTGAATGCGTAATCGTAGTACGTAATTCCGTCTCGAGAGGATTCCGTTACCTTCCAGTACTTTCCATCGCTCACGTAAGCTTATGTAAGCAGTATTGCTTACATAATCAATACCTATAATAATCTACAGAAATCGTAGATTAATATGGTATATAGTTTGCTTACGTAATATTGATAATAAGGCGAATAATAAGGTAAACAAAGTTACCTTTGTAACAAAAATTAATAAAGTTAAGTATTTTAAATCTCTATAATCTTTAGAATATTCTTCTAAGCTTAAAAATGCAATTTTTAGCGTTATACTAATTATAAAACCTAAGGAAATTTAAGTTTTTATAAATACCACTTATTATAATATAACTTGATATTTATATATAATAATACTTATATTACTAATAAAAAACTATTTGTATAAGTTCGTTTTAAATCTTTTAAAAATAATCAACTCTAAAAATTTATGTTTTCTAATAAATAAAAGAGTTATAGAGCAAAATATAATGTTAGTATTTGTATACAAACTACTAGTAAACACTAACATTTAAAAAATACTTTTTAAATCTAATATTACTATATAATATGATATAAAAAGTATTTTTTTGAATTTTTTAATATTAATTATACTTTTCTATAGCCTCTGTATTTTTTAAAATATTTATTTTATAATTATTTATGTATATATAAAATAGCGGTTTTGGCTGAATGTGGCCGAATTGGGTGATCTGTCGTAGGGGGTGATCCGTCGTGTGGGGTGGGGTCTTATAGCATGTTCCATGAATCTCACACAGGGAAAAAGCGGATCTATTAGTGCTTCTTTTCCAAGTATCTCCAAAAGCTAGTTTGTCTATCTGAAAGCCTCAAACATCAAAGCGAGCGTCTTTCTGCTACCTATAGAGCTACTAACGATAAGCCTTCTAGGTGCCAGAGGCATATCGGTAGAGGACCTTTTTTGGTACGATACGCCCAACTCTTCCGCATAGGATGGCACGATCAGCACCATCTCAGCTGACAGCTCAACTATTATGCCTTTCGAGGTTCAATGAACTGTTATGCGAGCAAGCTGGTAAAGATCTTGTCACCATGAGACATACCTCTATATCGATCGAGTCCGGGAGGCTCGGAGTTCTATCCGGAAAGGAGGCACGGGTATAATCCAAGGACTTTCAAGCTTCTGCGGTTCAAAGCATTAGATTCAGGTATGGTAAATTTTACTTATGCATCCATCTCAAAACAAACCTTCAGTACGACATTGACATTTTCGGTATGGTGGTTGATATACTCCGGGGCCCATGGGTGAGGTATCGGTCGAAAATACGATGGAACTGGGTTACGTGCCATACTTTCAGGGTTCAGCTTGCAGTAGACCTTCGCCATTTCACCGTCACCAAGGCCATCAGTCCTGAGACCATCATGTAGTTGCGAAATAGTTCTAACATAAGGTACCTAACTATAGGTGGCATCAAACTATCCTAATAAAGTCATAAAAAGAGGTGTGTAGAATATTAATAGCGAATCGTTGCACACTTGGCTAAGACTTCAACTACAAGGTCTTGGACATAGTATCGAATCAGTCAGTCCTAAGAACCGCAACGGACCATACAGGCAAGAGGAAGCTAAAGTTGCCATCGGACGACTCAATGTAAAAGACAACTGGGAGCGAGATAGGGGCTGCATCGTGGGTGTTGGCACTATCGGGGTTGTCGTGGCCCAGAATTGACAGCGTCACGAACCTTTTTCCTGCAATCTCGATATCTAGATGCTGTGGCTCACCAGCGTAATTGGCAAGCTTCACAACAAAGCTGTTCCCAGCGCTTACAGCACTCCAAAAGACCGAATCAAATCTAGTATCAGAGATTATCTCATGTTTCATGGATCCGGCGTTTTGCGCGAAGAGCTGCTGTACCCAGTAGTTGGAGGTGTAAACTCTAGCGTCAGGGGCTTGTTTGAACGGATTCAGATTGGGCTGTATAAGATTAAGAAAGTCAATGAAATACTGCGTCATACAAGTACTAGATCGTGGAAAGCTTACAGCCCATTGCTGATGATCGACAAGACTGATCAAGGGTGCGAACGCAACATCTCGGATGAGGTCACTATTGCGTTCCAGTCCAAGCATGAAGATGGCCTCGGAGACTGAGCCCTTCATGTCCGACCACTGGACGTCCCAGCGACCCATTTCTCCAATAATGTATTTATTCCTGCGGGAGACATTGTCTCACTGGGCGAAGTTGACAATGTAGTTTTCAGGGACATTATATTCGTGGTAGTCGATCCACGCATCTGCTGGGAATGGATCAGGTAAGCAGTTGAACCCAGTCGCTGAAGCAATGAGTTGGAGCTCTGGATACGCCGGACAAATGGCGTTATAGAAGGCAGCAAATCTTTCGGGGTAGCTGCTACGACCAAAGTCGTCTTCGTTTCCGATTTCAACCCATTTGACAGACCAAGGCTGCTCATTCCCGGTTTTGGCTCGCAGAGCTCCCATTGGAGTCGATGAATCGCCAAGAACATATTTTTCAAGAGAAACATATTAGATTGAGAAAAACTACGTATGTTGTGGACTTTAGGACTTACTTGGAGTTCGCGCATAAGTTCGTCAACAAAGGGCCGCAGATCCTCGCCAGTGATATGAGTGCCGTCAAGAGAGTACCCTGAATAGACGTCCAGAAATGGCTCGAGTTGCATGTCATCACACCACTCAAAGTACTCATGAAGACCTGGGGAAGTTTAGTGATAAAGGGACTTATTGTGAGACGGAGAGATTATGTCCCTACCCAGAGCATCTGTGTTTGGATATCCCCAAGCTCCTGTAACGTGTTAGTTGATGTTATCGACTTGTGTGTTTCTCTTGATGACATACCTTGGTGACCGGGGCGAGAAGCCAGAGCACCAATCGTCTCATTCCACTTCCATCGATTCTCGACATTTGGTCCTTCTCTTAGAGTTGTTAGAAATCGTTGTCTGCCTGAGAACATCGCCGACTCAAAACGTACAGGTTATTGCCGCCGGCGAATCTGAGAAAGTTTTCCCCCTATGTTATCCACTGCCTTAGCTAGAGATGGCTTCAATCCATTATAAATGAAGGTCAAACGTTAGATGCCCATCCAAGATGGAAAACTGTTCTAACCACATATCGGTTGTGGAAGGTGGTAGGGTAGAGCTGCGGAAACGCGAATCACACTGAAGACCCTGCTACAAGCTCTGCATCAAAGACCATTCTGTATTCGATATCCGTCAACGATGAGAAGGTTATGAGTGGCCGTTGATGAAACTCGGTGAATCTTTCGGTGGTAGCATCGACGTGAAGGTGGAGTTTCCAAAATCTCCTACGTGGAAACGCTTTGTAAGACCCAGGTCATTTGACCCTGGTAGTTACCACGGATAAAGATGTTATGCGAGTGGGGGCTACCATCAACGGGTATGCCCCAGTAACCCTCGTTGAAGAAGCCAACCTGGCCCGAGGCGCCACTTTCGACACTGACTTCCAGTGAATTCGGAACTTATGTTTCAATAGTACTCACATTTAAGGAAGGACGGTCGGAAGAACACTATGCGTATCACTGCAGATAACCATTTGTCCTGAAGGCAATTACTAGCAACAGGCTACTCTTCAGATAAAATTCCCCTATGCTATATCGAAGGTGAGTACACAAGAGAAGAATTTAAGTACAGTTTGGCACTTGTCACTATCTTGTTACACGTTACGCGTGTCTTGAAGATATACAAATTTACGAGCCAAAGCTACGGCGATTCGACTTTCTCACTGAGTGAGCCAGGGGTTGGGATATCCCGGGTCTGTGATGTTAACCCCAATGATCGGGCTCAGCCAGCTGTCATAGTCAGTCGAGCTGTTCATGTTACCTCCCCACTTTAATGCCCGAACCAAGATACGATAATCAGCATTCGGCAATTGGTAAATGGTTCCGTTGGCTAGTTCAACAACACCCCAAGACCAATCAGTGCTATAAACGCTGTAGCCTCGGAAGTTGGTAGCAACTGTTCCATGAGGCACATCGCCACCCCACAATAAGCCAACGAGGCCATAACTCTTCAACCCCGCCACGTGGTCAAGGGTTCCCAGGTCCAGGGGAGGAGTAGTGACAGGCGTGTTGGCAAATACGGTAGCGTTCGTTTGGGATCCCGGGAGATAACCATATGTTGACGGCGTGAAGTTGTAAGCGGGGTTAGACGCGATGTCTGCAGGTACTGCGTCAAAGCGGACATACGCCGATGGTTGGTCAATGAAAATTGTGAGAACTGGGTCGTTGTCGGGAGTCTGTGTTTGGTTCTCGGCAACCTTCTTGGCGGGGAATGTGAAAATCGTCTTGTCGTTATTGCGAATTCCCGCGTCAGAAGAACTGATAAACGGCAGCAAAGGAACGCCAGAAGGGGGCACTGGGGAGACATCAAGATTCTTTAAGTCTCCTGTGTAGATATTGGAGAGTTCGCCGCGTGCATACGGGATTCCAAGATAAGGAATGGAAAAGTTTTCCTCTCCTTCGGTGACTGTGATGAGACCACTGTAAGTCGGCAGGAGGGAAACGTCGACAGTGGGAGGGGTGATCGTAAATTCTACAGTCGCCTTGCCGCCAGCTGGAACCGTAAGGGAGCTCGTTGTGAATGTCACTTCCGAGTAAATAGGATTGAAGTTGAGCGCCCAGTAGAACATGTCGTTGATGTCAAGACTGTTGCCATTTGGTAGTCCGTTGACTTCCGCTGCAGGCTTGTGACCCAGCGTGTAGGTCTTGGGGGAAGATGACAAGTTCTCGATTGTGAAATTCCGATCAAGGGGTCCGGCTGAGTCGAGAAGGTTGAATTCGGTTGCAGAGAAAACGGTTTCCGACGTGACTGCTCTCAGGACGTTGACTAATCCCGAGCCTTGTTGAGCGGTAGTGGTGAGAATGTCAGTCGCGTTGTATTGCTTTAGAGGAGTTGCGGACGATTGCAAACGCCTCGCGATCTCCTTCGGGCTCAAGTTAGGATATTTCTGCTTCACAAGAGCGTAGCAACCCGCAAGGCTTTGAAAAGTTAGCTCAAAGCCACCTTCGCTTTGGAAACACGACTTACTGAGGGGTGGCCATCGATGTGCCCGAGATGACCGCATATCCCCACCCGTTAGATGTAACCCATGTGCTAAGAATGGTTCCTCCAGGTGCAGACACCTGAGGCTTGAGCGACATTTCCATTGTTGGCCCAAAGGTTGAGAACCATGAGGTAGTGCCTCCAGTTGGCTGATCAATCTGATGAACGGTTTGGTCTTCGAAAGTCAAAGTGAAGTTCTTGCCCTCTTTAGCAATACCGGCGAGAATTTTGCTTGCCTCAGACTTCTTGACCTTGACCGTATCAATGGCGCCATTCGCACCTGGCTCGTCGATGGACATGTCACTGGTATCAGGAAACCATGCCCAGACATTCGTGAAGCCAGATGAGTTGCTCCGTGCATCCAGGATATCGTAGTAACAGTCGCTTCTCGCGGTGACCAATGCGACCACACTGCCCTTGTTAGGGAAGCTGGCAATCGCATCATCCCATGCTTGGTCCACGCACTCTCCATTATCGTCGTCCGCAACAAAGACATTGAAGTGTGCTGACGCGTTGAGGGGAACAACACGACCGTACTCAATGGTGGAACCATCCGAACCAGCAGCGTTGTACACCGTAGCAAAGTGGAAGTCGCTCACGGAGCCGACTGAGATCGCACTGGGGTCTTGTGCTGGTGCCGAGGAAACGTAAAGGCCAGTGTCGCCCTCGTTGCCGGCCGCAATGACGATTCCGATGCCCTGGGACTGGATCTTGGACAGAATCGGAATGTACGGTGAGCCACCCTCCCAAATAGTTGTCTCACCAATCGACATGCTGATGAGGTCAACTCCGTCGCTAGCAGCTCTCTCAAAGCCTTGCATGAGGATATCATCAGTGACACCTCCACTGCAGCCGAGAACGCGGTAGGCATAAAGAGATGCGTCAGGTGCAACACCAGAGATGCCAAATCCAACGCCCTGAGGGTCCTTGGCAGCGAGGATTCCTGCAATGACGAGTTAACACAAGCTAGGGCGAGGTTTTGGCTTCTCCTCGATATGACATACCAGCAACATGGGTACCGTGACCGCCCTCCAAGCAAGTAGTCAATGGGTCATCGTCCGGGACTGGATCATTCCAGCCAACAAAGTTATCACCCACAAAATCATAGCCTCCCGCTACCTTGAAGCCTTCGCCGTAGCCACCGCCCAGGGCTGGGTGACGCCAATCAACACCAGTATCGAGGAAACCAATCTTGATGCCTTTTCCAGTCAGACCTTGGGCATGGACTTTGTCAGCGCCGGTCATCTTGAGACTGGAAAGGACATCACTGGTGCCATTGATGGTGACAACCTGTGCAGCGGCTCTGAGCTGGACGGACTGCACTCCGATGGGAACAGAGGGGTTGACAGTCTTTGATCTCCGGCTAGAACCAACTGGTACGGGGCGGTCGTAATATTTGTTGGGCCAGACCTTCTTGACCTGGGGTAGAGCAAGCAAAGTGTCGACGTCGGTATCATCCTTTGCATTGATTGACAAGCCATAGAAGTAGTCCGGATTTTTGAATTCGTGACGTACAGAGTAATCCAGGACGTCTTCGGCTCGGCGATGGAAAACAGAGTGCGCATCTTCGCCGACCTCGCGGCCATTGATTGACGCATTCGGCTCAAGTTCGATGATGAAACCAGTGTTGACTGGTGGCTTTGCCTTGATAGCGGCTCCGGGGTGAAACGCCGCCAGACCAGGCGTGATCAGAGCCGTGGCAGCCACAAGAGTAAAAGACTGGACCTTCATGACGAAGCGTTGAAATGAGTGTAAACGAAAGGAGTGTAATGGACACCACGGTGGCTATAATCTGCAAGGGATTTCAGTCCGAAGAGTGCATCACGACACATTATAAGTACTGAGGACGTTTATCACCAGACAGGATAGTGTCTCGTGAGAATAAACCATGATGAGTTTCGAAGACGTGCTTCACGATAAGGATTGCGATACGAACTGATCACCACCAAGAGCACTTTCAGAAGTCCCTGTGTCCCAATTTCGAGATGCAGATAGCCAGCTGCCTAGGTAGCATTGGGTAGGTGTTGTCGGTTCCCGATCTGTCGGCAATCTCTGCTATTTGAGGCTGGAAAGCTTGATTAAGCCTACTGGTGTTACTACAGCGTAGATATCTTAAGGGTCGATTAACCCCTCCAATCGGCATTGAGTAACAATATTCTCGTATGGTCGGGATACAGAGAGGGGCCGGAGGGCGGAGGGTCCATCCTCGCATCCAGGCGCAGAATAGGAAGGTCGTGTTGTGGAGATTCGTGATCTAATTACAGGGAGTTATTGCCAAACCTTATTGCGGATGTCGCTGGATTCCTCGGCCTCCGATATCGTCAAGAGGGCACTTATTATTTTCCTAAAACACTTTCTGGGTACAAACTGTGCTTCAATTGCTCAAGGTGAGTAATTTGGTACAATATTCCTGTATCAAAGTTTAAGAACCATCTCACTCTTTGAGATAAGATAGAGCTAGTCACACAGCTTTATCTTGGGCATGTATGCGACCCGGGCTTCATACTTTACTCTACATCCTGCCAAGCATAGTTGCGCCCGGCTTAGACTTGATAAAACTTACCTTTTCAATTGCTTCTGGTTAAATGACGTAAATCTAAGACTGAGAATCGACCAGGTATTAACTAATGGGGTGGGACTTCAACATGTCTGATCCGTTACAGAGTAAGGTATCTTACGGTTTGGGGGGGCTCTTGGGACCAAGACCTCGCGATGAGCGCAAGGGCCATCAGCTCAACCATCACTCCAAACGACTCGTACGGGCAGCCAGAGGTCAAATTTGCTATGGTGGACAGACCATCAAGCATTGTATTGTACGAACTGCCACCAGATCATCTTGTTATTGCTATGGGTGTTGGTCAACAGACCATGTAGGGACTCCGTACGCTCGGAGGCTCTTCGTATGGGCAGTCTACAATGCGTGCGATCCAGCTGGTGTCTCATGTGGGTCGTCTAGCACGTGCCGTCGCTGTTGCCTGTCGCGTGCTTACTATTCCAACCTCCGCCTGGCCTCAGCACAGCCCATTTCGAATCGTAGACAACTTCATATCCAATCCGCTCTCTCAAACCGCGGTGCCCTACCTCGGGTGACTGCGTGTAGGAGGGTTGAAACCTCATTTACTCAAGAGGTCACTCTACCCATGCACTTCATCGCCGCCTGAGCGCAACCTTCGGTCACCCTGGCCCGTATAGAGCCTCTTGACTCATGGCTAATCCTGCCCCTCTCGCACAACCTGCGGAGAACCGGCCACGGAGTGGGATCCGGCCAAAAAGAAGGCAGGTCGGCAGAGCGTGCGATGCCTGTCGTTTGCGTCGCATCAAATGCGACGATGCGTCTCCTTGTGCCAACTGCAGGGGTCGGGGCCAGCAGTGCAGCAATACGGAAGCAACCCGAACTTCGACTCTCTCTCAGGCCCATGAAGAGATAGATCGACTAAGGCTGAGAGTTTTGGACCTCGAACGAGAGCTTCAGCGACACCGAGGGGCGCATACCAATCCTGGAACGTTGTTTTCTATACATTCGCAACAAGTAGTCGCCAACGTGGAAGCAACGGCAGCCAGTAACATCGCAGGCCACTTTGTCACGCCAAGAAATAAGCCTTGGGATGGTGCTCTGCTCCGACCCGCACGATCACCTCATGTCGCATGGTTTGGACCTTCTTCTCTTTACTTTTTTATCCATCGCCTTGGCGTGTTCCTCAGTACCGATGTAGAACATGCTCAGCCAGACCACATGCTTCTCCGATCAACGAGCGGTAGCGCCGTGCCCGCCCAGGAAAGGACTACGTCAGAAGACGCATCTCATTTGCTGAGGCCACTTTTTAACGGCAATAAACCCGGGGTCTATCTGAATCCAATTCAAGAAGAGTACTTCGTCAATCTATTTTGGCAATCATACCACACCTCTTTGTACGCCATTATTGACGAGGCCGAGTTCAAAAAAGAGTATCAAGCCCTCTATCTGGATGTGCCCTCTGGCTATACTCGCAAGCCTTCAGCGCTGGTCGATATTGTTGTTGCCATGTGCATGCAGTACATGGCCTCAAGTCTGCCGTCTAGCCATCAAGGAAACATCGTCGAAGGAAACGATGCTACAACTGCCGGCCGGTGGCACTACCGAAGAGCACAGACTTTACTAGCCGGGGAAATGGAAAGCCCTTCTATCTCCACGCTACAGTGCCATCTCCTTTCAGCTGTCTATGTCTGTGGTGCGTCGTTCCATAATATGGCAGATAGCATTTGTGGTCAAGCTGTACGCATAGCCTATATGCTGGGTCTGCATATCGATCCTCCACTTGATACACCTGAGAAAGAACGTCAAGTAAGACGTCGACTTTGGTGGGCTGTCTATGTCTTGGACAGCAAAGTCGGGATGAAGCTGGGACGCCCCTTCTTACTACATGGTTCATTTTCCATGCCGCCTTTCCCAGATGATCAGCTTGGCGCTTCCATGTTATCAGGATCTACATTCGCTCCAATTTCAGGGGACGCTACCTGGCTGAGCTTTAGTCTTCATCACCTCAAATTATTCAAAACAATGAGAGATGCTCATACTACATTATACAGTCACGACGTTGGGCTTGGACAACACAAGACTATATGGGATGATCCCACATCCTTGGCCAAGGTAGCCGAAAGTCTAGAAGCTCATACCGTCATGATAGAGAGATGGGTGCAAAACTTGCCTGGTGCGCTCAAAAACAGCCGAGTAAACAATGGCCGCATTCTCTCAACCGACGGCTCGGCTCTCGTTATTGAGCAGTATGCCCCACTCTGGCTCCAAAGACAACGCCTTCTCCTGGAAATGGAATATCACCACATGTCTGTCAACCTTTACCGACCCTTCATTTCATTCAAAAAAGTTCCGGCGCCCGGAAGTCGTCTTGAGACGCTCGCAATAGAAAGTATCAACCATGCGATAGAGCTATCGAAGATTACTCAGCAAGCGCTTTCGTCCACGGCTATACTCGATGGATGGCATGAAGCGTTCCAGTGGCAATGGAATTCTGCCATCACATTAGCAGGATTTATCTTGGCCAATCCGCGTCATTCTGCAGTCGTAGCCGCAAGAAGTGCCATGGATTCATCCTTGTCAGTTTTTGGTACATTTGGCCAGAGTTTCGAGCTGGCAAAGAATGCTGAAACTGTTGTCCGAATGCTGTGTACGAAGATCGATGGCTTGATATCGACTTCTTCCCAGGACCATGGTCAGAAGGAGCCAGCTGCATTATCTACGCTGGGTATCGACCAGGAAGTGGAGGTAGTTAATGGCTTTGCTTCTGAATCGGTCTATACATCAACCTCCCCTGAGCTTTTGACTCAATTTCTGGACTTCGATTTCACGGAAATGGCGGTTGGCGTAGATTTCTGGGCCAATATCGACATGCTGGGTGTCGGCGATATTAGCACATTTGGCGAGTCCTCTGTCTTTTGACAGAGATAATAATATTGGGTATATTCCAATACTTTGACACACGTCTAAACAGCCAGCAACGTGATCGTTAATGCAATTGCTTCGAGCAAGCAATAGTGAGAGGTGTCGTTTGTTTTCGAGCTGATCGCGTGAATAGTGAATCAAAGAATTGCAAAACAGTAATCGTAAGCATTCATGATGCATTCCACCAATCGGAGCATGTCCTGCCTCTGCTTACTCTGGTCCTTTCCTAACCACTAGGAGTTGCTCCTACACTGCGAACCAACGATCCAATCGAAAGAACTCCTTTTGCGAACGACTAAGCGAGCCTCGATCCTTTACAGACAATAGCGCGAACTTGGTATAAATACGTCCGTTCGATTCACCAACTCTACTTTTTGAATTATCCCAAATCAGACTTCTTTCGCAACTTGATACTTACAGTCAGATCTCAATAATCAAGCTACCCTATTTTCACTCTTCGTCTAGCAAGGCACTTTGTTCCAAAAGCCACTATGTCTTTGCCGCGCCGAGCTCTGATCAGCATAACTTCTGCTCATGGCACCCTATTCGAGGGGAAGGAGACCACCGGCCTCTTCATCAGCGAAGCGCTGCATCCTTACAGCGTTTTAAGGGCAGCTGGTTTTGAGGTTGATCTCGCTTCCGAGACTGGTACATATACCCCTGACTGGCTTTCGACACAGCCAGATTTCCTCAACGGCGAAGACTTGGACATTTGGAATAATGCCAAGAGCGATTTCCGCATGAAGCTCGACAACATGACAAAAGCCGCTGACCTCGATGGTAACGCATACGGGCTTTTCTACGCGTCTGCCGGCCATGCCGCCCTCATCGATTATCCCACGGCCTCTTCTCTTCAGCGAATCGCAGCGCAAGTCTGGGCGAATGGAGGGGTGGTCTCTTCTGTCTGCCACGGACCAGCACTTTTCGCCAATCTGATCGACCATAGCACCAATGAGCCCTTGATCAAGAACAAGAGAATCACCGGCTTTACTACGGAAGCCGAATCCTCCATGGGGATTATGGATGAACTCAGAAGCTGGGGTGCTGAGATGGTGGAGGAAACGGCAATTCGACTCGGGGCGACATGTGAGCTTTTCACTCTTTCCTCCATCCATGGCCCAACCATTGCTTGGTGTGTGAGTTCTTCGGATCTAACATTGAAAACAGATGTGCGTGCCCCTGGTATCTGGGACGACTTTCATGTAGTTGATGGTCGCCTAGTGACAGGCCAGAACCCAGCCAGTGCTACATCCACTGCTCAAGCTGCCGTTGAAGCTTTCGACAGCGCTTGAAA